GGAAGTCCATACTGTCAACTCCTTTGTTGTCAGCTCCTTTCCTAACACCATGGCTGTTTTGTTCAAGTGCCATTGATGAGCACTGGGGTAACTGCAGAAACTGATTAATGTCTACAGAGTGTGTCATTTTCCTACATGATTGTTGAGCACTTGTTCAACATTTACAAAATAATTTACTTTGAGATCACTTCAAATATACAGAAAAGTTGCCAGACTGAACTAAGAACTTCCATGTCCCTTTCATCTAGAATCTTCAACTTATAATTTCCTATATTTGTTCCAAGTTTATTTTTGCTTTTGCTATCTCAGTTCTGGATCATCTTTCCTGATTCCCTTTAGTGGAGGATAATATTTAGAAACCAACATCTGGTGTTTGGTGTACTCATTGCTTCTTGGCCCTTGTGTTGGACAAAACTAGAAAAATATATGTTTAGATACATGCGTATGATATATGTTTACATAACATGCTTATGTAACTGTATATCCATGTATATATTATTAGAAAACCAAGCATTTGTACCCAGACATCAAATTCCATTCTATTGTCTCAGCGTACTTTTCTACTCCTTTTCTGTTTATAAATAACTTTTCTGATACTGAATAAATGTCATCTTCAGTGGATTTACTTATTTGTTCAGTGTACCCAATCTCCAACCATACTGCCTCTCTCCTCTGCCTGCTACCTTTGTCCTATTGTCCCTGCTCCCCTACTGTCCTAAAGCCTTGGCTACTGAGACTTAGGGTTTCTCCTCTGAAGTGTTCCCAGCCTTTCTCATCATGGATAAGTGGGTCCATGTCAATAACTGCCATGTTGATTCTGCCACTATGAGAAGGGAAGAACATAGAAGGAAAAGAAGCTAGAGGGAAATAAAGTGACTTTATATGTTTTGATATGTAGAATTATGGGGTGAATGCTTCCTAGGCTGAGGATATTGCCAGGGTAAAGGTATATTTGGGGAACATTTAACAAGCATATATGTATGGCACATAAGGTATGTATAATGAGAGATAAGGTTTAACCACTGTCTCAGAATGTATATCGTATTTTTGTTTGCTTGTTAACTAGTTGTTTCTCTCATTAGAATGTAAGTTCCATGAGAACAATGACTGCTTTGTCCACTGCTATTATCGCTGGTGCTAAAGCAGTGCCTGGTAAATAGTAGATAATGAATTATTTTATGTTAAATGCTTTCAGCTCCAACAAGTAGTTTGCACCCAGATTTTGGAGGTCAGAATAAAAAGATTGAATTTAATTCTCTTAGGTAGGGGAAGGTTACCAAAGTCCTTTAAAGCAGGATGGTAATACAACCTGGGTTTTAGTAAAGTGCCTTACTAACTGCAAATGAAAGATTATAATTATAGACATGTGAAGAAAAGTAATTTTAGGAAGTATTTATATTTTGAGGGACACTTATTTGGGAATATAATGATTTTATTTATTTCATGTTTTAGAAAAGATTCCCATATGTATCATAAAAGAAATTTTTGAAAAATTCTATAAAACATATTCTAGAAAAAAATTACCATACGTGCAATTTGTCATCAATAATAGCTGTCATATTTGAAAAGTACCAAACACATTTTCTCTAAGATTTTGTTATTACCACTTAAAAACTGCTTTTCTCCTACTTATTATAAAATACTTTCAAAAGTATGTTTAATATTTATTATCATAACTGATTGTATGATGCACCCATTTCTATAGTGCAGGATAATATCATGCTCAATTTTATTGCAATAATTATAATTTAATGGCAGCTTTCACAAATGACTTTAAGAATGGTTATAAATTTTTAGGTAGACAAAGCTTTAGATGATTGCTATATATCATTCTTAAAAAAATAGACATTCAATACACAAACGTTTATTGATAAGATTTTTGTGGATCAGTCCAAAAAAGGCTCTGCAAGGTTTGCTTGCAATTGTTTCAGGGCTGTTGGCAGAAGACCCAACCAAGACCCCTGGGTCAGAGACAAAGAACTTTCTCTTGATGGCAAAGGCAGTATCCACAGCTTCACATTCATTCATATTGCTTCCCCTCCAGGTGCTGAGTGTGACACAAAGACCCATCATGGATGTCAACACATGAGTTGCATTAAAGAAGAACCTTGAGCTTAGGGGAGTCACTACTTTTATAGTGAGGAGTAGCAAGCCTGCTCCTCGGCAGGAAGAAAACATTACATCATCTCTCAAGGTTGCTCATTGCAAACACTGTTCTGAGGAATGGCCTGTGGTAAATGTGGTCAGGACTTTGCACTCTTGGCATGCCCAGAAAGAATGTGAAGGCATGTTCAGGAACCATGGAGTCTGCCTTTTGCAATCGTACTGTGTTACTAAGAAAAAATATAAGCTCCTAAAATGAATTAGACCAAATCTAAAATACATCTGTGGAAAACACCAGAAATTTTAGTTGAAATTATGTGATACTGATGCTCCCTGCTCAACTGCACGATGCTGTGGAGAGGTCTGTCATTAGTATGATATTTATGAGTGTGTGAAAGATTAGTTGAAATATTTAGTGGGATGAATTGAAAGTCATTATTTTGAATATTAAAAAGCTTTTATTTAAACACAGCCTTTTAAGTTGAATATTGCTCCACTTTGATAGTTTTCTTCAAACCTGAAAAAATATATTTCAAAACATGGTAGTAATAGCAATAATAACCACCAACTCAGCACCAATAATGGGTAATATTTCTTGGGTAGTATTTCTTGAGGGCTTACTATGCACTATTCAAAGCACTTCTTCTTATTAATGCAGGAATCCTGACAATAGTTCTTTGAAATAGGCACCATTATTTAAGAGGAAACTAAGGCCAAGTAATTCATTTAACATCTCATGGCCAGAATATCAGTTAGGATGCCTTCAGCTATAGTTGACACAAACACTCACCAATTGGTACATTTATTTTAGTGTATTACAGGAAGACCAGAGGTGCGACAACTTTCAAAGATAGTTGAGTTAGTGACTAAACAAAGTCACCAGTCAAAATTATTCCCTTTTCCTTAAAAACTTATGTCTGCATTGTCTGTCCCTGTATAGTCACCAAATGATATGGTAGCTCATGGCATCATTTCCACATGTGGAATGTGGCTAAATCCAGAGTCATGGAGGAAACTTCTTCTCTAGACCCCTTGGTAAAAGGCTCTCCCACAAGACTCCAGCAGATCTTCCTTTATGTCATACACACCAGAACCAAGTTCCATGCCAATCCTGAAAACATCTATCAGGAAGGATGGGATCACTGTGATGGAATGAGAACAAACCAACCGTACCCTTAGCACTGGGGTGGTGACCTCCCATACCTCCTAAATTCTGTGGCAGAGAAATCAGAAGTTCTGAGGGGGGCTTGGGATGGGGTACTCCCATCAGTGTCTACTCCAGCTGGCCAGCAGACAAGGGAAGACAGAAGCACAAACTCTGTCTTGGTGTATGCACTGAAAAGTCTGGTTTTCGTGGTATTTTTTTTAGCTGACATTTTTATAAACAGACAGTTGTGCTGGTCAAATGAACAGAGAGTGTGAAAGTTGGGTGACTTACTACCATTATTAAAGGTATATAAAGGGAGTTTACAAGTACTGCTTGTTCCTGGTCTAGTCAGATTTTTTTCAGAGAGTTTGAAAATCCAATACAGTACAGTGGTACAATTATTTTATTTTATTTTATTTGTTTGTTTGTTTGTTTTTTGTTTTTTCATTTATTTTTTAAATAAATTTTATTTTATATTCCCCATACAATTGCAACCCCCTTATTTTGACCCCAATCCCTCCCCTCCCTGCCCCCCACCCCCCATAGAGTGTCTCTGGTTCATAGTTTTTTGTTGATTTTGATTTTCACTTTCTTATAGTTATTCTTTTTCCTGGTCCCTTATTTAAGTTTTCTAGATTCGTGCTATGAGTGAGACCATCCGGTATTTTTCTTTTTCTTTCTGGCTTATTTCGCTGAGCATGATCCCTTCCAGCGCCATTCATGTTGCTGCAAATTGCATGTGTTTATCTTTTTTGAATGCTAAGTAATATTCCATGGTGTATATGTACCACATCTTCTTGATCCAGTCATCTATTTTTGGGCATTTGGGTTGTTTCCAAAGCTTAGCTAGGTACAATTATTTTAAAGGAACAGTTCTCTAGTATTTTTGTTTCAGAACCGCTTTGTAGTATTAAAAATTGTTGGAGACCTCAAAGAGCTTTTATTTGTATGTATTTGTAGTTTCCATATTACCAATCTAAAGGGAGAAATTGAAAACGTACTTGTATTCATTCTATAATTTTTAATACAATTCTGTATTTATATGAATAATATATTTTAAAGAAAAGCTATTTTTTTTCAAGATTTTATTTATTTTATTTATACAAGCACTGGGTACAGTCAGAAGCGCGGAAGGGCGAGAGAATTCATCAGAGACAGAGCGGGGAACAGAACAGGCAGAGTGATGAAATACACAGCCGAGGGGAGCAGCGGACACGGCAGGAGAGGTCTGTCACGCTATGTGGGACCCTCGCTGGCGACTGCAGAGGCTGCGGGCAGCCTCGCAGCCCAGCGCTCAACCGCTGTGCCACCAGGGGAGGCCCTAATGCAAAAACAATTTTGAACTCATGGGTTCTTTACAAAACTGCCCTAGAAGCCCAGGGGTCCTTAGCCCACACTTTGAAAATCGCTATCTTATTTTTGTTTCACATGGCAGTGCATAATTTATAATGACTTTAGCAGCAGCGCAGGTAAGTCAGTAGATTAGATATTTTAAGGAGGCTCATAAAATAATTATATCTCAGAAAATGGAAAGAAGATGAATATCAGTGGAGCAATCAGGCAGTCTAGGGAATCTGATAATCTGGCAGAGTCCTGATGAAAACCCCAAAACATGCACAGATAATGCAAAGCCCTCCTCACTTCATCTTTTGAATCTTTAAAATATGATCAACACAAACATATGTGCACATCTCATATTTTTAAGGAATTATTTATTGCATAAAGTACATTTAATCTCAATTTTTTTCAGATTTCCTATTTCAGAGGATTTGAAGGTTGGATTTTTCAACACAGACCATGCTACTCAAACGGATTCTAGTGAAATTTTGCCTCTAAAAGAGTTGAGTTCATCAACACAAAAACTAGTACAGGTAAATCTGGATTTATTTTTGTAATTTAAAGATAATTTTAGATATTATTTGCCTCTATGTCTATTTCTTTGACATAAATGAAATGATTATTTTTTTAAAGTATTAACACCTTTGACAAGCTGAGCTAAATGATAAGTATGGTTTTTAAAATTAATATGAGCTAATTATATATTATGTCAAATTCTACTATGCTTTATATGTTAAATTATTTAGTGAAGTGTTCTGTTATTCTTTTTGGAATTTGTTTTTGACATCTGTGAATAAGCATACCATATTTTTGGCATATAGATGAATCTAGATAGAGAGACCTGATTTCCTTACCTTTTCTTCAATGGGAAAGGAAAAACTGAAATCTATATATCTTTGCCTACTGTGTCTTCCCTAGTAATCTTCTTTACTCACTTTCCTTTTCCCGCCAAGTCCTGTCTCAGCTAAGCTATTTAAGATGGCATCTGAAGCTACATAGGCAAGTCATTTAGTTTTGCTAGGTCTCTCCCATGTATGCAGGAGGTAGACATGTTATTATTAACATTATTGCCCACCATACAGTTTTGTCAAATTTTGACATTCTATCATATTGCCTTTGGATCTTTTTTTGATTGTAAAGGAACAGAAACATTTCTTACCATCAAATGTTGAGTTATTATCAAAACTCCTAATCAATAAAACTGACACATGGGATAAGTACTACATAAATTCTTACTTTGTTTCTCTTTTTTCACTCCCAGGATAACTTGGAAAGCTTTCCCTATCTGTATACAGAGAGTTTCCTCATCTATTTCACAAGTATATCATTTATTTAGCTATCCCTCTATTGATGGACATTTTGGTCTTTTCAAATCTTTCACTTTCAGGAATAACTCTGTGCACACTCATATGCCAGTGAATCTGTAATGTAAATTCTTTCAAGTGGAATTTCTGTGTCAGAGGGTTATGTAGTTGTAGGGTAAGGTAAAAGGTATCAGGCTTTTCTGCCCTTCCGCCATCAGGATAGATGAGGGAACCCTGTGGTCCTGAATGCATGCCTGATGGCGGGCACCTGAAGTGGGTCCACCTGAGCTAAGAGACGGGTTTATAAGGGTGGTGCAGCAGAGTGCGGTGTGGTGGTAGTGCGGTGTCGAGGGTGGAGGAGTGGAGTGTACGGAGGAGCGCGGTGACTACAAACCACGGCGAAGAGCATGTGGCTGCTAGAACCGTTCCTAAACCTGCCCGGAATGGGTTGGTTGCTTTACAGTAGTCATTTGGAAGGATATTACTAAATTGCCTTGCATAGAAGCATATACCAGTTTACCACTCCCACTTGTAACTTTGAGGAGCCTCCTCTCCTGTACTCTATTAGCATATAAACCTGCACACCACAATCAAGAAGTAATCCTAAAAGTCAGGACAGGTCCCTAACCACATAGCCGGTTCATTTGCTCAGAACTAAGCAACATACTGGAATCTTTGCAGAGAATTTCCATATCTCTACAGTAACATGTTTTCCCCCTTTTAGACTGTTAAATCCCTTCAGGTGGATTTCGGGTTTCTCAAACAATCACTTCAATTGAAGTTTGAGGATCGACTTAAACAGGAGTCTTTCAGTCTCTTCACTGTTCTACAGGATAGGATCCAGTCGATTGAAAAACGTTATCAACAGGTAGAAGTTCTCTCATTTCCTTTGCTTTGTGTGCAGATTGATCTCATGCTTAGATGTGTGTGCACTGCAGTTTTGAGATTAGGAACTAATAGGGGCAATTTAATTTGTACATGGGCCTCATGTAATAACTGGTACATGTTGTATGTCAGGAACATCTGTGAGTCCTCTATATATAAATTCATTTCATACTCACACTATCCTTATGATGTAAGTATAATTATTATCCCTTATTTATAGATGACAAACTGAAGCACAGAAATATTAACTAATTCATGATCACCAGTTAAAAAAACAGTAGAGTTTAGGGTCCAGTTCAGGTGATTGGATGCTTGTGATCTAGATCTTAACTTCAATCTTATATGATCTTAATTGAGCCTTAACCATAGTTTTACGAGGACAAGAAAAACTTGAGGAGTTTCCTAGAGCCTTTGGTCAGATTAGCATAATCCCTGATCTATCCATAAGGAAATTGAGCTGCCAAAGTTAAAAATAACTTGCTTAAGGTCAGACAGAGAGTAAGTGGTTGAACATATAAAATCCAATTCTGTCTGATTTACAGTCTATTTGTTTTTTACAGTCCATGCTAGATTCAAGAATTGCTATCGGAATCAAGGGTATTTTTTTAATTGTACTATCTTTCATTGTTATCCTAAACAGATAAAATCAAATGATCAATTAATCAAGAAATGACTGGCTTATGGATTAGATTTCATAGATTTCATTAGATTTCATTAGATTTCATTTCTAGATTTCATAAGCATATCCCATTTTAAAAGTATAAGGACTGGAAGAGGATATGAATTATAAATAGATTTTACTGCTTTTAATTTTTTTAAGATTTATTTATTTATGCTGTAGGGTAAGTGAAAACGTATCAGGCTTTTCCACCCTCATGCCATTAGCGTTGATAATTGATCCCTGCGGTCCTACATACATGCCTGATGGCAGACACCTGGAATGGGGTGTGGGCATGCATAGGTGGGTACACTTGGGCTGAGACTGGGCTTATAAGGGTGGCATCACAGAGTGAAACCAGAAGAAGAGAAAGAATGAGACAAGAGAACGCCAGAGCGCCCAGGAAGAGTGAGGACTTGCCAGGAGCTGGGAGGCCTGCTAGCCTTGCAGCCACCTGGCACCCCTGCCTGCTGTGTACCTGTTAAAAGCTCAATAAAAGCCTGAAAAAGCCACCGAGGCCTCCAGCACTCTCCTTTATCAGTCTGCTTGGATCACAGAGATCTTGCACTATGCCTTCCTGCCACTACATATGCATACAAGAACTGGGGTATAGGCCAGAGATGTGGGGTGTGAGAAGATCCACCAGAGACAGAGTGGGGAACAGAACAGGTGGCTTGACTGAAATACACTGCTGAGGGGAGCAGTTGGTGAGACAGGAGACATCTACTGAACCATGTAGTTAGCTCCCTGGTGGACAGGGGATCAAATTCATGCTGCAGAGGCTGCGGATAACTTCACAGTCTGTGCTTAACCCCTTGCACCACCAGGGAAGCCTGGTTTTACTACTTGTAAGGGCAGGACTGGGCACAAGGCAGGTTTTCTGATCCCATGCAGATCGGGTAAAGGAGGAGTCAGAGTCCTCAGTAGTTTTGCAGGTTTTTTATTTGGGGTTCACCAGGCATATGGCAGGCAGGGGTGCTGGCTGGGGGGCTGGGAGGCTGGCAGGCCTCCCAGCCCCCAGCAAGTCCTCACTCTATCTGGGCTCTCTAGCGTTCGTTCTGCTGCTTCTCGACTTCGGCTGAGGCTGCTGCTGCTGGTGGTGCTGGTGCTGCTACTGCTGCTGCTGGCGTCCCCCTGTGACGCCGCCCTTAAAAGCACAGTCTTAGCTCAGCTGAATCCCATCTACCTATGCCCACACCCTATTCCAGGTGCCCACCATCAGGCATGCATTCAGGACAAGGATCCATCATCTATCCTGATGGCAGAAGGGCAGAAAAGCCTGATATTTTCTTTACCCTACAGTCCACCCCCTCAGGGTTTTCTGCCATACAGTCTATACATATATACACAATTTTCTAAGCAAACAAACAATGCAGCCATGGCCCACAAAAGCAAATACATCAAATAACAAAATACAACATAACAAAATACAACAGAACACAAATAAGTCCAGGCAGGGCACCAACCAAGTGCAAAAGACAATTATTGGTACCAGCAGATGAGCCACCAAATCTGCTGCCGAAGGCACTGCTCATACGAGGGAGGGGAAATCACACACGGCATCTGCTATAACACACCAGGAGCCGTCAGGCTTCCTGGCCTTCTCTGGCTGTAGTCTCGGCTACAAGGCACACACAGCATCCACCCCCAGGATGCACTAGCTCTGGGATTGGCAATTTTATTCTGTTGGGGGTAATCGCCAACCCTCAGGGTTTCTGTCTGCAGTCACTCCAACACTCGGCCTTCATGGCCACCAATGCGACTCACAGACCCCTGCTCTCAAGCCAACCCACTGCACAAGCACATGGGTTGGGGATCCAAACTTTGCATTTGGCTTGGGCTCCACCCCAAGCCACATTCCCCACCCGTCCCCAAGGACGGGCTCCTCAGCTCCTCACCCTCACTCAAGAATGAGCAGGGCATCACCCACAGGTGATTTTACGAGACTCACAGGGCTTCAGCATACCCAGGCTGCTTAACAGCCGCTTTAGGGCTTCTCAACTTAGCATCAGTACCAGCTTTTGCCACCTTAGTTGGCTTTTCTCCTCCACCTGGCCACTGGGCATACACAGGCTGCTTTTGGCCATCTAGGCCCACTGGCCACCCCCAGATTCTCAAAAAATAAACATAACCTGCTAAGGTCCTCCGCCTTCTGGCGGGATTGTCAGTCCAAAATCATCAGTTCATCAGTCTATCAGTCCATTGGCCTCTCCCTGCTTCAGCAATGGCCTGCTGCCTCAGGGGTCATTGGCTGGTCCTTTCCGGTGTCGTTGGCTGGTCCTATCCGGTGTCGTTGGCTGGTCCTATCCAGTGTCGTTGGCTGGTCCTTTCGGGCGTCTCCTTCACGCCAGGTCTCATCCTGTAGTTCGTGGACGTATCCATCTTCTACCGCCATGGCGCCTCCAGCGTCGTCACAGGCAGTCTTTTACTCCTTAGTCCCTCCAGGTCTTTGGAGGGCTCCAATACCCGTCTGCATGGATCCTGCCGACTACGCCAATTGTAAGGGCAGGACTGGGCACAAGGCAGGTTTTCTGATCCCATGCAGATCGGGTAAAGGAGGAGTCAGAGTCCTCAGTAGTTTTGCAGGTTTTTTATTTGGGGTTCACCAGGCATATGGCAGGCAGGGGTGCTGGCTGGGGGCTGGGAGGCTGGCAGGCCTCCCAGCCCCCAGCAAGTCCTCACTCTATCTGGGCTCTCTAGCGTTCGTTCTGCTGCTTCTCAACTTCGGCTGAGGCTGCTGCTGCTGCTGGTGCTGGTGCTGCTACTGCTGCTGCTGGCGTCCCCCTGTGACGCCGCCCTTAAAAGCACAGTCTTAGCTCAGCTGAATCCCATCTACCTATGCCCACACCCTATTCCAGGTGCCCACCATCAGGCATGCATTCAGGACAAGGATCCATCATCTATCCTGATGGCAGAAGGGCAGAAAAGCCTGATATTTTCTTTACCCTACACTACTTTTAGAAGCAATTCTAGGAAGACACTAAATAAATAAGCTTAGATATATAAAATGAAATAAAATGTTCAAATTATCCATATTTATCCCTGTGAGCACTTTGTGGCTTTGGTTAAGTACAAATAAAAATGAATCATGTTGTGAGCCTCCCAGGTGGTGTAGCAGTTGAGCGCTGGGCCGCGAAGCTGCCCAGCCTCTGCAGTGCTGGTTCAATCCCTGGCCGCTGGCGAGGGTCCCACATGCAAGACAGACCCTCCTGCCATGCCCGCTGCTCCCCTCAGCAGTGTACTTTGGTCCTTCTGCCTGTTCTGTTCCCCGCTCTGGCCCTGGTGAATTCTCTCACCCTCCCACACTTCTGACTGTACCCAATGCTTGTATAAATAAATAAATAAATCTTTAAAAAAAAAATGAAACATGTTGTAATAGCTATGGTGTAGGAGAAACAATTTATAAATTGATTTTTATCAGACTGTACTGATTTGAATGATAGTTTTATACTGAGTCCCTCGCTAGTAGGTGTGAGATCATATTTAGAAATACGCCATTGTGCTCATTGCATTTATTTTTGGTTTGCAGAATGAGGAAGTCATAAGAAAATGCTACAATCAACAGCTAGCTGATGCCATAGCTGTTATCCGAGGAATATACAAGGTGGGTTGTTAGTGTGTTACAGGCACTCACACAGTGGGGCTCATCAGGGATCCCAGGCTGGGTTTTGCTTTGAGGACCTGATTCCTCAACTTTCAAGTCACAAAAGAGAGATCAGCCTAAGACAATTCACACTTACCTTAAATTTATCAAATAACCTTTTACGGTAGCACATACAACTTTCCAGAGGCTAAAAAATCCTAGTCTGGTTTCCAAAGTCTATGTTTAAGTGACAAGGTAATCCAGTTTGTTTGGCAAGCATACCATTAGGTAGAAAATGAGATGATCTTAAGAGAGTGTTCACCAAGTCTATAGTGAATCCTAGTGAATGTCTGACCCTTGATGGCACCTTTTCCAGTGACAGGCACACTGCTATCTGCCAGACGTGGTGCTTCACTGTCCTACATAATGGGAAAATTCATAATTTTCAATTGTTTTTTAGGCCTAGTAGAGATCTTGTGCTTCTTTTAGCATGTTTAACTATAATCTTGTCATTCATTTCAATTTATTTCTATGGAGAATTATATGTAAAGTGAGTTGTGCATTGATTGCATACTTCCATTCACAACACTTCACACATTTGTTTTAATGATGTCATTACTCATTACCTTTCTCTGTTCTATGCCAGACATACCCCTTGTGAGGCAAGGATGTTGTCTATTTTACTCACTACTGTGCCCTGCCTCTTAGCACTGCGCTAATAATCGCTGAATGCATGAACAGTTGCAGGTACTTAAGGCAGATACCAATGACTCAATAGTCACTGATTCACCCTCCTCATTCCTCCTTTTTTATTAGCGGAACCATTTTCTACCTAGAAGACAAAATGCTGGCTACTTTTCCCCTAGCTTTCTTTGAGTTACAGCATGAGCATGGGCAAGGGCAGGTCCCTGACCATGGAGACCTGAAGTTAAGTTGGCTGTGAATAACCTCTGGGAAAGAGGTGATTCTTTCTAATTAAAAGATACTCATGGGACGAAATACCCTCCTTTTTCTTTCTTTCTTTTCTTTTTTTTTTTTTAAAGATTTATTTATTTATTTGTTTGTGTGTTTATTTATTTATTTATACAAGCCCTGGGTACAGTCAGAAGTGCAGGAGGGTGAGAGAACTCACCAGAGCCAGAGCGGGGAACAGAACAGGCAGACTGACAAGGTACACTTCTGAGGGGAGCAGCGGGCACAGCAGGAGAGGTCTGCGTGCCATGTGGGACCCTTGCCGGCTGCCGGGGATCAAACAGGCGCTGCAGAGGCTGCAGGCAGTTTCACAGCCCAGCGCTCAGCCGCTGCACCACCAGGGGAGGCCCCAATACCCTCCTTTTTCTTTGCTTAATCTTCTTGTGACTCCTTCTGATGCTTGGAATTGCTACAAACTAAAGCCAAGCACCAAGACACCACGTGTGCTAAGGGTAGCAGAGCTGAACAGTGGTGTAGACCAGAGGTGTGGGGAAGGGTTGAGAGGATTCACCAGAGAGAATGGGGAGCAGAACAGGAGGATTGACTGAAATACACTGTTGAGGTGAGCATGGGCAAGACAGAAGAGGTCTGCTGCACCAAGTGGATTAGCACCCTGGTTGGGAGATAGAACCCAGGCTGCAGCAGTGACAGCGCTGAGACTTAACCCCTATGTCATGAGGGAGGCCTGGTGCTGAAGTCCTTGATGAGCAACTAAAGTAACTTTGGACTTTCTCAGACCCTGGTCCTTTTTTTTTATAAACTAATAACCCTCTTATGGTTTAAGTTACTGTTTGTGACTCTTGACTTAATTGCAGCTGAAAACAGCTATCTCAGGGCTAATTAGAAAGAATTTCTGTGACTTTGTGTGAAATTGTGTTTTCAAAGGTGGTGGCAACACCATCTCCCACTTACCTGCTCTTCTATGATGCTCCGCCTCCATCAAGGGGTGGAGCCTAATTCCCTTTTCCTGAGCCCTGGTGGCTTTGCTGAGGTGCTCATGGTCACAGAATGAGGAGGGAATGATGCTGCATGACTTCTGTGAGTAGGTCAAAAGAAACCTTGCAACTCCATCCTACTTTCAAATTGTTGCTTTCTGGACTCTTCCTCTTTGAATCCAGCAAACATTCTGTGAGATGCTCAAGTCATACAGAAGCTCTACATTATGGGTACTGGATCAACAGACCCAACTGGGTTCAGACTACAAGTTATCCAGTCCCCTATCTATTCAGTCTTTCATCTGAAGCCCCAGGCACTGGAGCAGAGATAAGCCATCCCACTATATCTGACTCAAAGAATTCATGAGCAGATAGACCTTTTCATGAAACTCCTTAATACTGGTCTTTTTCTGTTTATTATCCTATCTTAGTATTTAGGCTTATAGCTCTGAGGCCACTAACTGCATATTTCAGATATGAAAGAGAGCCCTCAAGTCATCTGTAATCACTAACATTTATAGTTTTGAATTATATGAAATTGGTATTTTGGGGATCGAAAATTCAAATATCAGCAATTTCATATGGTTAAACCTAATAAACATACTTTTTAACAAATAAAAGCAGCAACAAACTGCATACAAAATTAGGCTATAACTTTGAGGAAAACAAATTCATCTTCAATTTAACCAGTGCTTGTTGAGTGGATAACTACGTATGATATGCTAGACATTGACATTACAAAGATGAAGGAGACAATGGTGGGAAGCGATTATAAACAAGTCATAATAATATAGCTTTTTTAAAGTAGAGAAGACTATATATACCAGTAGTTATGGGGCCACTACCAGGGGAGCAGTTGTTTCTGCTAGGATGCTTTGGGAAGGCTTCACGGTGGAGGTGATATTAGTGCTAGCTTTTAAAGTACAAATCTTTCCTGACTTGTGATGGAGTTATATCCCCATAAACCCATTGTAAATTGAATATTACAAGTCAAAAAATCATTTAATGCACCTAACCTACTGAACATCAAAGCTTAGCCTCACCTATCTAAAATGTGCACAGAACACTTACATTAGCCTACATTTGGACAAAAATCATTCAACACAAAGCTTATAATAAAGTGTTGAATATCTCATGTAACTTAAAACCAGAATAGTGGTGTGGGTTCTTATCATTAACATATATAGTGGTGGGAAGCACCCTAGATCTGAAGGGGTTTTGAAGTATTGAAAATTTAGCTGCTTGATAATGGAGTTGCTACAGTAATAAGGTTATCCATTTATCCCTCTTCTAAAAAACTCAGGATTAGCCAGTAGAAGTTTGTCATGTGGCTGATGGGAAGCTGTCTTCCATTGGCCAGCCTCACACTGCAGTACTGTAATGCATTTCACTAGCCCAGGAAAAGGTCTCCGCCAGAATTTTTGTTGTTTAGAGTGGGAGGGTAAGTCAAAATTCCACGATTTTTTTTAAAACAGACTTTCATAGTCCTCTGTGTTTTCAACAATTTCTGTTATATTGATAAGTTTCTAGTGTACAGTACATGTTCAAAAAATGTAGGTGAATAAGGAACTACCATTGTTCATATGTACTTTTTAGTACTTCTAGCAGTAGAGATCCCTGAAATGCTTAAATGATTCATATCCATCAGTTTTCCATAAATATGTGCTGATTAAGTATTTTTAGCCAATAGTGTATTAATTGTGGTTTGTTGGTTCACCTAGTTAACGAATTGTTTTAATGATGCAGGAGTGATTATTTAAATCTTCCCTTTGAATTGGTGGCATCACTTTGATCCATGACCTCAAACAGCCTTCCTAATCCTGGCCACCCAGTTGGTTAGGGCTTAGTCATAAGAAAGAACAGAAGAGTGTTGAAAAAATAACAGTACAACCCTTGTTGGGAAGAGGTAACTTTTGGTTAAATGTAAATAACTCTCTGCTGCCCTCTGGAGGCCAGTTAAGAATACAGGTACAAGTACTTTTTCAGCTATGGGACAAGTTTTTACATCTACTTATAAAACAATTCCGTGTGTGATATTACAGTATCTTATTTGCAGGCAAAAGAAAACATTTTCCAAAATTTACACCCAATTTAGTTAAATTTTGTTATTTGGTTATTTTTGATTATTTAGTTATTTTGGTTTTGGAAATGTGTCAGCTCAAATATAGATGAGAAAGCAAGCTAGGTATTTCACACACACACACAGAGATGTAATAAAGGCATTTAGAACCTCCTATTTAAAAAAAAAAAACCTTCATAAAAGTCAGAGAGGCTAGCTTTCAGATTAAACAATTTCCCCAAAAGCATTTACTGAATACTTTTTCCATTTCCATATTAGAAGATAAACTGAGGTATACTGAAAATTTTTAAGAGTTTGTGTGAGCAAAAATCAATTCAAATTGGAGGGCACCAAACCGGAAATGACTTTTATAGAGAGATGGAAGCAAAGCAAAGAGGCTATTTGATTAGTTACAGCTTAAGCATTTCACCTATTTCAAAAATCCTCTTTGACTGTTTTTGATTGGCTGTCCTTAGGTTTTTATTTCTTAATCATAAATAGAAGAGATAGCTTAGAGTGACATAGTAAGGAGAGAAGAATTCTTCCCTTTGTTCAAAAGTATTAGGCACACCCACACCCCCACAGTTTAAAAACAACCATCAGAATTTCATTCCCTCAAATCCAAGTACCATCCTCTCCTTTATTAACAGAGGACTAATGAATCAAGTCATTGCTCTGAGTGGGTGTTCTTTTGTCTCAGTTTTCTTTTTTCTGTGAGAAAACTCTGGGATGGACAAAGAACACTTTGGGTATCTGTTGATTGTTGGGGGTAGTGCAGGGGGGTAGCAAGGGGAGCTAAACGATGCTTAAATAGAGAAGAGGGTACAGAGGTATTGAGAAGGCCCTGGATGAGCTTTGCCTTCGCTGCTCTGGGTACTCCTCACTACCTAAACTCGAGAGAAGCCCGGACCTCCAAAGATTCTTTTGTCTTGGATTGTGACCTCACATTAGTTATACAAACATAAGGGATGATGCTTGGAGAAACAGCCTCTTTTTCCCTAGGCAAATAATTAAAGTGAAGTAGTGATAGCCTATTATGGTGACCAAGGCACTGT